TAAAACAATACAGACTAATGATTTTAGGGCAGTTTCTCACCAGAGCTGAATACAGCTCTCATCAGGCTGCGTCCAGAATCCGTACGCAGCCTGGTGACACCTGGACACTGCCTGGGGACATCTGGACTTCAGATGTCACCTGGGCTGCATCCAGATGTCACCAGGCTGCATATAGATGTCATCATGAATGCCTATTGGGTCTCTCCACGGCTCTGCTGACTGGTGCTGAGCTGAGCCCACTCTAAGGGCGCGTATTGACTGAACGGAGCAGGTGCTGGTCTCATGCCCGCTCTGAGGCTGTATTCAAGGTGTGAGGCTGCCTCGATCTGTGCCTGCACCAGGAATCCGGAGATGTGGGACCTGGCAGGCAGTGTCAAAGACAGCTACTGCCAGGTCCCCGGAAGGCTGCCTCAGGACCCCACAATCGCAGGATCTGAGGCGGCCGATCCGATTAAAATGTGAAGGGCCAGTACTGGTGAAAATGCCCTGGATCGGCCCCTATACCGATACTAGTATCAGTATCGGGACATCCCTAGTTATAACCTCTGACAGTTTTTCTGTGTCCTGGTGGGTAATTTCCCCTTCACTTCCTGTCCTACAGACACAACAAGGAGTGAGAAGAAATCTCTACAAAGTGAGGAGAATTCTCCTCTTAGGTGTCACCCTAATACGGTGACACCTATACACTCTAATACCCCTTCATACGGGCATGTCAGTCAGATCTGCCTGTCAGTTTCTCAGGTGGATCTGATCGGAATGTTAGTCTCTGGGCAGCCAGATCCATTTACATACGGTTACCCCGCACTCCAGATCCAAAAACAAAAAGGGATCAGAGTTCCGTTTTGATGGACCAGATCGGAGGTAATCGGATGTAAATGGACATCCAATTCACCATAGACCAACACTGGTCTGGAATTTTCAGTTTCTGGATGGACACGTATGTCAGAACGGTGAATACTTGCATGGACCCCCTGCGGATCAGAACTGAAGGGGCTCTTCTGAAAGGTGCCAAAACTCCTTACATCTTGTTCCGGTGACAACTCTAAAACGATTTCCCATCACATTCTGTCTAAATCTGGCCACACATCTTTTAGATTTCTCTTGTTCAGCGTGTGGGCTGAATGAGAGACTATCAATAGATTACCCCACCCCTGCCGGTTATTGCATTCAGACAGCTGGCAGCCGCGGCACTCAGACCCTGAACAATGACTGCATCTGACAGGACACAGACGCTATTCAGCTGAACTCTGATCTGAAATCTCCATCTGGTTCATTTCATTTTAATAAGTACAGTCCACTCTAACATAAAGAAATGCACACATCTTCATAAAAGACAAATTTGCATTTATTATTTGCATTGGAGCCAGTAAAGCATTGCAAGTGCCCTGATTGGAGCACGAGTGTAATGCTCTGCCCCTGCAGATTCTCCCTTCTGTCCCTGTCCATACCAAGGTACTGTCATTCAGTATGGTCCCTTTCACATGGTTGCATCCATTCTGATCAGAAGGGGATCTGTGCACACACCTCCTACTCATCAGAGCAGTACTCAGCGGATTCCACTTTTGTCGCATCCACAGCCGCTCATTTTTTTACCCTCCTTCTTGCAATTGAGTGAAAAACTGAACGAAACAGACCCATGGGCAGGCCATGGATAAGTGGACGTCCTCCTGTTTACTTGAAAAGGGAGCAGCAGCATATGCAATGCTCCCATTATGGGACTATAACAGCCACCAGGAGCTTGCATATGCTTTGCAAAAAAAAATTTTGTTTACACTTACCTGTTATCCATGAGTTTTGGATGTTGGTCCGGGTCCTGCTGACAGTTGAGCCTCATGCACTTCGGCCATGGGTCCGGGTCCTGCTGACAGTTGAGCCTCATGCACTTCGGCCATGGGTCCGGGTCCTGCTGACAGTTGAGCCTCATGCACTTCGGTCATTGGTCTATGAATATCTTGAATATGTATACAACATGAACCCTGGTCCAAACAGTGGGCTTAGCCTTTAAATCGGCTTTTGCAGAGCCGGGTGGTGCTGATATGGTCATCCACGGCTCGGGTTTTAGTAAATTCAGCCCTATATACGTTTTTTTGATGGATTTCAAGTGAAAGGGCCCCCGAAAACTGAATGGGGCTGGTTTACACCGGATCCGTTGCGTTACATTGCGCTGAGAAAAAGTACTGCATGTCCTACTTTTCTTTTCAGTGCAACGCAGCAATATGAACTAGCCCTATTGACACCCATTCATTTTTCTGTGCACTTTCGTTAGCATGCATTGAAAAACGGAGCGCAACGCAAACAAAGCGCAACGCGACGGATCTGGTGTGAATAGGCTCTTACTGCAATAATTCTACTAATTCACTTAAAATGGAGATGGCAAAGGATATAGTTTGGGGCTTCAGCAGAACAGTTCATTAACCTCCTCCCAGCCGGTCGTTGTAATTAAACGGCCGGCTGGGAACTTCCTGGATTTAACAGTCCGTGTTAGCCCCGCCCACTCGCGGGAAACTGCCAAAATGTAAAAACAGGCAGCGATGTCTGTTTACACACAAGCGATCTGCCGGCTCTATAACCAGTGGATCTCTTGTATATGGTGTTGTTTTGTGCGGGGCACCCCCCCTCCCACTGTGCCCGATGCGAGCCCGGGACCAGCATAGTGGCTCTCTGACAGGGGATCTCCCTCCGCTGTCAGAATGCGGAAGTGTTGTATATTACATCACTTCCGCATTCTTGTGTCACTCTCCAGTTTCAGACGCTGGAGAGAAGCTGATGAAGCAGATCTCTGCTTCATCAGCTTCTTTCGAGGGGTCCTAGGTGACATTAGGTGTCTTGGAGACCCCTGAGGTCTCCATAAAGAGGACCTGTCACATCTCTTTGCTATTACATAGGGGGTAAAACAAAATAGGAAAAAAAAAAGTTGCGAAAAAAAAAATTAAACTCGCATAAGAAAAAGAATTTTTAAAAAACACTAAAATTGTTTAAAGTTCCCACCCATACATACACGCGTGCAAACATGCGTTGGGTGCTCATACGTGCGAAAACGACGATTGTGCCCATTACGCCGCACATCGCCGCAAACGTTGCATTGAGAGCAATAATTTTAGGACAATCAATCACTGATAACACTAAACTGATGAGCAGTAAAAGCTTTTAAAGTGTCGCCTATGGTTGATTTTGGGTATGGTAGTTTTTTGCGATTTTGCGCAATTTAAAGCTTGACATGTTTGGTGTCTATTTACCCGACGTGACCCCGTCTTTTATATTTTACCAAAAAAATGGGTAATAATCATTGTTTCCTAACATAATGTAAAAAAATGTTTTCAAAATGTTCGGTCATTTTTCCTTACTATAGTAAAAAATAAAACCCCACAGTGGTGATTTAACAGCACCAAAAGAAAGCTCTATCTGTCCCCCAAAAATTGTATAAAATTCATTTCAGTACTGAATACATACTGAAAAATGGCCTGGTCAGGAAGGGGGTTAAACACTGCGGTCAGCAAGTGGTTAATGAGCATGAACAGCCTGAATCTCTGCCAGATATTTAGTGCTATGTGTGTCCCTGCTGGGAGCCATTGTAACTGAAGCCACCGTGACTTATAATGGCTCCCTTCAGGGACACACATAGCAGTAAATACCTGACAGAGGTTGTCACCCCTCCCAATGCTATATAAAAGGTTCGGGCTATACATGCACTTTAATGACCTGTGCTCTGCCATCTCCAGTGAATTAGTAGACTGCTTGCTGTAAGGGAGAATACACAGCAGCCGTCGGCCATTTATAAGTGCTGCCCTGGCCGTAATCCCACCCCCAACCATGAGAAAAAAGAAGCCCTCAGCGCTGTGGCGCCAGTTGCCCGCGCATCCGCCATTTTGTCTCCCTGAGGAGAGCTGAAGCCACCTCGTTACCGCGACTCCAGACACTTAACAAGTCGTGAGCGCCCGGAGCCGCCTCCAAGAACCGAGGAGGGGCATTACCTCTCTATAATTTGTAGGTCAGTCGCACGATGACACATAAATGGCACCTGGCCAGCAAGCCGTACCACAGATTGTCAGCCCTTGGTGACAAAATGGCGGCCGGCGTCTCACCGACACGATGACGTAACGTGGCAGGGAGCCGGCAGCGCCTGACCTCGGCAATCCGCGGTTCTTTTCATTGCTGAGGGACAACAAGTCCCAGCATGTGCGAGGCGGGGCTGTTGCTCTTCGACACAGCTAGGGGGCAGCACGTCGGCCATGGCCAGGACAGCGCCTAAGGCAATGTGCCACATTAGCCACCGCGGCAGCGGGTGTGAGGTGAAGCGTGGCCGCCAGGGGGAGAGTAAGCGCGCCCCGGCGCCCGAAGGATTCGCTGTATGTGCCATTGCGGCCGCTTTGCAGCGCACATACATCACGTCGTTTCAGGGAACTCGACAGCTGGCCGTGTGCACGTTTATTGAGCCGATCGGCCGTGACGAATGTGCGGTAAGGCAGCGATATGTATTAAGTGTGTGTATAGCAATGTAATCACAAGATCCACATAAGCTCATCAGGCTTTGATGACGGCATGGTGATTAATTGCGCAGCACAGCGGAGGACGGCTGCACGGGGGTTGCTCAGCCGGCACCGAAAGGGTGTACAGGGATCTATGGTGAGACGGAGCAGGCTCTTTGCACGCACATATCGCAGCTTGCGGCATAGTTCTCGACCACGCCCCTCTACGCCTGGCCCCTCCTCCTCCTGCACACTGCCGTGCGTGTGGGGTGTGAACAGGCACTTCGCTTCTACAGCGCCAGGCTAAATCGTCCGATTTTCCCCCCCTCCCTTCCCCTACTGACTGCAACGCATGGGCGGTGACTCGTCTCCGTCAGGTCTGCCAGGAGCACCGCCCTTCTCCCCTCGCAAGCTAGGGGAGGAGGGAAGACAAGCGCGTGACGGACTAGCATCGTAGCCAATCACGTTTCTCTCCTTGGCTCCTGCACTCAAGACGGACAGCCAATCGTGGCATTTCAGTGGGCGGGACCTGTGCTAGCCGTGGCCGCGCCTTCCCCAGCTTGCGGCTTTGGCTCCGCCCCTTATGCTCCGGGACTGGACGGGAGAGTTCGGCTACGGGGGAAGGATTGCTGTGCGGGGGTTCGCGGCCTATCCTCTTTACCTCCAGCAGCTGCCGGTAAGTGACTGGAGTGTCGGTTATTCCACAGAGGGCTAAAGGACGGACCCCACGATTCTCGTGGCGGTGCCACCAATGCCTTCACGTGAGAGGGCGCTCTGATACGCCCCCTGGCGGATGTGCCTGTTATTTGCCCCCCTTTTGTGTCAGCTGTTGGTGTTCCCGCCGCCTTTGGGCAGCGCCGCTATGTAACGTCCAGAGCAGCGTTGCTGGTATACAGGACCGACAATCTGCCCTCCCCGCTGTGATATGCCGGGCTGCCCGTGGGGGTCACCTCAGGGTGTGCGAGGTATACGTCCGCCGGCTTCCTCATCCCCCCCCCCCTTTCCCGGCCGCGGCTGTATTGTTCAGCTAGCGCGCTAATGGCGGACGGGAGGCAGCGCCACCGAACGTGCGTTGTGAGAGTAGCAGCGCCGGGATAGCTAAACACCCGGAGGGCAGTACAGGCCCTCCTCCTCTCACCGCTGCCATCGGGCCTGACGCCCTCCATACACAAAGAAGGGGAGAGACCGGGCTCCCTCTAGCGGGGCCCTTGTCTCCACGGCCCGGGGGTATTCCGTGGGACGGCTCCTGAGCTGTACACACTGGATGTGGTGTATGAGGGCAGCTGCACTGCCTGCTTCCCCTGGGATCAATGTGCCCTGCATCCTCATCGTCCACATGACCACTCTCTGTGTATACCGTAGGAGCAGCTGCTGCTGCTGGGGCACTACAAGTCCCATCATTCTTTGCTGGCTGCAAGGATGCAGGCATCCCAGGAGCAATGTCACATCCCAGTAAGGATCACGTGTGTGTGTATATATATATATATACACACACAATGTCCATGCCTGTCCTTTGTGTATGACTTCTCCGTTCTTACCCAAGGAAGATCTGCTCCTGCATTTAATTGTAGCAAAGAAGATGGAGCACAGGATGGATCTGTTGCCAAGAGCAACCAATCAGGTTTTATCTCTTCATTCTTGGGGAAATGCAAAACAAATCAGTTGCAGTGGCTCCACTTCTGCTCTAGTTCCAATGCATCAGACACAAGAGTGATCAGTAAAGGGGCAGACACACACACATACAGATCTATCTGATGAGCAGTACCAGTGTCTTTGCTGGCTCAGTGAGTGCACTCCTTTTACTGGGCCTTCTCCTTTCCCACAGTCACATACATGTGTGTTTTTATTGTGCGAGGAGAGGGAAATCCTTGTATTGTATGTAGGTGAGTGTGGGGATTGGAACACTGTGGTAGTGAGGCTGGTTGTGGGAGGGGGCAGTGAGAGGAATGCTTCATGAAGTACTCACTCCAGCCACTGGGATACCCTCATTTTTCATGCTTTTATTTTTTTTTGCATGCACTTACAATGCAGTGCAAGTGGTAGAATACAAACCTCAATGCAGCATTGTGCCTCCAAAGCAGGCCTTTTCACTGTGCTGTACTGGTACACTGCCTGTTTGTGATGTGTATGTATAATATATATATATATATATAACACCACACCACACACACTTTGTTTTTGCTAATCTATCATGTAAGGTCAGGGAAAGGATTACTTGTAACAAACTGGTCTGACATAACACAACTGAAGAAGAGGATCCGCTGTGTAGTTAGAGGGAGCCTTGTAACCGCCCCCCTTGCCCATTAAGGTTTGACATCCTTGCAATTATAATTTTGGCTTTGAGTTTCTGCGCTTTATACTAGCGCGATGGAGCTCCACCTGAAGTAGTGCAGACCTTCCCTACACTTCAGCTTTGTGAAGTTGGTAGATATAAAGCATTTGTTTAGAATTTCAGACTTCCTTGTTTTTGTTTTACTTTAGGTGGAAGATGTTTTTATAGCTCATTTATGTAGAATTTGTGCATTACTGAACATGTTTACCCACAAGGACTTTGAATTTTCTTTGTGTGTTTTGTGCTTGCTTGCACTGCTGCACTTCTGGCCAACCCCCTTGAACCCACCACTGTCATCTGCTGATCTGCAGCACTTATACAAGGCTTGAAAAAGGAGAAATATGAGACATGATCTCCATTGAAGAGTCACTTGGATTGGTCTGATTGCACTGAATACTGTTATGTAGTGAAAGCAATGTTGTAAAGTTGGATAAAGCTTGTTTTAAAGCTGGACTCCGGGCTAAGTAAATCTTGTCTAAATACAAGAGGCGTGTGTGTGCTTTGTGTATTCCAGATCTGTGCAGTAAACTGGTGTGAAACTTTACCTCTGTGCTGGAGCTTCCTGTAATAGAGACCCGTCACTGCTGCGCTCTCTCCCTGTGCACGGTAACTGGTCTTGTCTCCACCCCCCTCCTGTTTTTTATAGGCAGCCTGTAGTGGGTGGGCCCTGCAGGGATTCTTACCCAGCTCTGCTCTCTGCACAGCTCGGTGATTATGTTGCTGTTAATTTTACAAGGTAATGTCTGGGTTTGCAAAGGCATTTAGTGCACTCCAAGTGGGTTTATATCTTTTGTGGCTATTGAGCAATATATATTTGCCAGGATCAAGGTATAGGACTAAAGCACCCCTCCTCCACAGCTTTAGCAAGGGAAAGACAGCCAGGCGCTCGCTGGCAGGAGTGTGTCCTCACTCCAACCAAACAGGTATATAGTAAAGGAAGAATCTGGCTGATTTAGAGTGGTTTTTACTGCTGTCTGTGCACCTCAGGGAGATTTACTGTGTCGGCACTGAAAGTGAGGGAAAGCCCAGAATTTTGAATGGTCTCCAGAACAGGATCAGAGGAAACCTACTAATGGGGATATTTGTTATAGTGACAAACATCAGAGGGGGTTTACCTCACTTTGGAGAGATGTACTCTGACTTCCTGTGTGTCCACAGTGCAGGAAGTGAAGGCAAATCTCCCCAGTGGGATGCAGATGGGGGGGGTTTAACCATTTCCAGCACAGCGACCTTGTGGTTAGCGCTCTGGGGGTCTCTGGTTCGAATCCCGGTCAGGTCACTAAAAAAACAAGTTTTGACTTTGTATATACTTTAGTGATAAGCACATGGACAGGGTAGGGAGGGTTAGTCCTCGGTTCTTCCAGTGGAAGTTTTGTTTCGGGTCCTCTCCTGATGGTGGTGTGTGTACATACTGTTCTTAGTTACCATGGAAGCACAGGTTGTGTGAATAGTGGATGCAGCATAATGAAGTCTGATTAGCGTTTCAGAATGTTAGTATAGCGCGATGTCAAACTCATTATAGCTTCCACATGCAAATGGTTGTGGCTCAGGGCCCATTCACACCAGATCCATTGTGTTGCATTACAATCCGATTTCTAATGGCTGGTAACACAAGGACAATGAAAAATGAATGGGACAGGTCACACTGATGCATTGCTGTCAGCTGTGCTGAAAAAAGTAGAGCATGTGCTACTTTTTTTTCCAACACAACATTGCAAAAACACGCATTAACGCATTGCATTGTTACTTCACAAAGTGTTGTGTTTTTTTATGGGGGGGAGATGCATTAAAACCCCCTGTCATGTATTTATTGCTGTCAGCCTCTGCTGGAGAGATTCGCCCTCTCTTTTGGTGATCATAGTTGCCGGGACTGACAGTGAGGGTAATCTTCACATGGGGATCCTTGTTCCAGTGACAACTATCTGAGAGGATTTTTCAAATTAGGAGAGATTTGTTTGCTTATGTATGCAGGGCAGGAAGTGGAGGCAAATCTCCCTAATGGGCTTTAGATATACTTAGGTACTGTCCTTCCAAAATCCACTTGGAGCACCTGAACTGTGGAAACTGGGCCCAAAAAAAGCTGTCAGAGGGTAAAGGACTGGTCACCATTATTTCCTATGGGCAGCTGATTGTTGCTCTTACTGCCTTGTTTTGCATTCTGTGTGAAGGCAGCCATCTTGATAGAGGAGCAGAACTTTGCTTCCTAGTAGGGATGTCCCGATACCACTATTTCAAGACCAAGTACTTCCCCGTCATGTACTTGCCGATACCAATTACCGATACTTTTTCTTAAATGGACAGGTGACTTTAAATGATCCATAGTACAACTACACGTTATGCACTATGGATCATGATTTAACCTATTCATGTTAGCAGGGGAGAATTGTAATTCTGTTGCTGGAGTGTAGTGGAGGTGTGTGCTGTATATAGAGCTGCAGCTAACGATTATTTTCAAAATCGATTAGTTAGCCGATTATTAAGTTCGATTAATCGGATAAAAAATACATTTTATTGCGCCAACCAATCAGAAGCCGATTAATCGATCGGCTTCTTGTTTAAACAGCCCCGATGCTGGCGACGTACACTGTACGTCGTCAGTCACGAAGGGGTTAAACAGCCCAGATGCTGTCGACACTGTACGTCGTCAGTCACGAAGGGGTTAAGAGAAAGGAGTCACCCTAAAACAGGATATCGGGACCAGTGCTCAGGGGACCAGCTGATTATACAGGAAACTAAAACTTTTTTTTTTTTATAAATTCTTTTATTTTTGTGACATAGCATGTCCGGAGCGTTGTCGATGTGGGGGGACAGTCCACCGCATCCGTACGTCCCAGTAGGTGCAAGGAGTCCATGCATTCCCGCATTTCATCCACAGTGTTGCAGGTATAGGTTCTGCCATCATAGAAGTTTAAATTGCAGTTTAAAGGGGAAGCCCCAACGGTACCTGATCTTCTTGGCTTGGAGCAAGGGTCGGAACTCTCGCAGACGAGCTATTGTAGCTGGTGAAAGGTCAGAGAAGATCTGGTACCGGAAACCCCTGGAATTGTAATATCCCGGCCTCTCTGGCTGCTTGGAGTATTCGTTTCTTAGTGCGGTAGAAGTGAAGACGAACAATAATATCCCGGGGAGGGCCCTCTGGCGTGCGCCTTGAGAGTGCCCTGTGGATCCTATCGAACTCCAACCTCTCCATGGGGATTTCAGGGGCCAATTCCTGGAACAACGCGGTGATCGTTGATTGCAGGTCCAGAACCGACTCCGGGACTCCTCTTATACGCAGGTTCAGTCTGTGGTCCCGGTTTTCAGAGCTGTGCTAGGAGCGATAAGTTGAGATTACGTAGCCGTTC